TCATCATCATCATCATCATCATCATCATCATCATCATCATCATCATCATCATCGTCATCATTGGGCTACATTCTTACCTATCTATTTGCAAAAGGATTGGACTTTTATCTATCTAAAACAGCCTCAATGAGTGTTCCGATCTTGCACACACCATGTGCACACCCCATTGCTGTACATACTTAGATTACCCAGATTGACAAATCATCTAAACCAAGCGGTTATGTTACTCTAGTAAAAATCAAATGCTACAAGTAAACTGAACATCTAGAAATAGGAACAACGGTTCTCACCTTGCGTTTTATACCCATTATATAGATTAAACTAGAAATGCGGAAACGGTTGATTAAACCGGCTTCTGAGGTGTGGTTTTTTGGGCACTTCGCTGTCACACAAGGAAGACGTGAGTTCCATTCTTGTGTGGGGAAAATTAATTTATCGGGTAGGTTTATCTGTCTTTCTGCTGGGACGTTGTATCACTGACAACAAAGGTTGGTCCTGACTGGCAGAGTTGAACAAACTGTTTCCAAAATGTACTGAATGAATTGTGCTCTTAGAACTGAAAAAGGGGTTGGGGATGGGGGAGGGGGGTGTTTATATGTTTCCCATGACAACTACATTTTTTAAAAACTCGGCCCACACAAGTCGCTACTCTGTAATTACAAAGTTCTATCTGCTCAGTACCAAGTTTTGAGAAATTTGACATAAAAAATTTTGAGTTTCACATCATGCCAAACTTTTTCTAATGCAATTCCTTGAATGTCTAGATAATGACTCCGAATACAATTTTCATAGAGCAGATAGAACATGTTGTTTCTGACCTCCTGGTCTTTGTAACCCAAAACGGTTCATAATGTCAGATAGGACTTTGCAATTCGTGGGTAGTGAAGTTAATCTTACTTCTTGTTTTCTACAAACAAAGATCATCAAGAGAAAGTGCAAGCTTAGAAAGTAGGCTGTAAAGTATTCATGCTGTATTTTTATCCTTTTTCTTCTTCTTGTTTATATTGGGCCACAATTTACAAGAGCGGCTAGCGTATTATACTGTTTTGCACACAACCTATACATATTCGTAGATGATTTGCACAATTCACATTTCTTTCTATTCTACAGAACGATGACGACTTTTCTGTTGAAGAGGAAGAACTTGTAAGTACATAATAATAATATTAAAAACACCTGTGGAGTAGTCATAGTCTATCTATCTATCTATCTATCTATCTATCTATCTATCTATCTATCTATCTATCT